GCGTTTCAGTAGTGTGTGTGAGAGCGTTTCAGTAGTGTGTGTGAGAGCGTTTCAGTTGTGTGTGTGAGAGCGTTTCAGTTGTGCGTGTAGAGCGTTCATAGTGGAAGGTTTCAGTAGTGCGTGTGAGAGCGTTTCAGTATGGTGTGTGAGAGCGTTTCAGTAGTGCGTGTGAGAGCGTTTCAGTCTGTGTGTGAGAGCGTTTAGTAGTGTGTGTTTGAGAGCGTTTCAGTTACGGTGTGTGAGAGCTAATTTCAGTAGTGGTGTGAGAGCGTTTCAGTAGTGTGTGTGAGAGCGTTTCAGTAGTGTGTGTGAGAGCGTTTCAGTAGTGTGTGTGAGAGCGTTTCAGTAGTGTGTGTGAGAGCGTTTCAGTTGTGTGTGTGAGAGCTATAAATTTCAGTAGTGTGTGTGAGAGCGTTTCAGTTGTGTGTGTGAGAGCGTTTCAGTATGTGTGTGTGAGAGCGTTTCAGTTGTGTGTGTGAGAGCGTAAAATTTCAGTAGTGTGTGTGAGAGCGTTTCAGTAGTGCGTGTGAGAGCGTTTCAGTAGTGTGTGTGAGAGCGTTTCAGTTGTGTGTGTGAGAGCTAAAATTTCAGTAGTGTGTGTGAGAGCGTTTCAGTAATAATGTCCCTTACGGCACCTCATAAATCGTGGTGCCTGTGATACTAAAAAAAGTTGATAAAGCAGGGTTGAATTTAGGGACTCGCTACTTTGTGGTTTGTAAGACCTTCTGTATACGTGAGTAACACGACTACTTTAAAAACATTAACAGACCAACTGTTAAAAGACATTGCCCAATCTTTCAAGGCGAGCCTTGACAAATTAGAGGTCATGAAAGCTGCGTTCATGTTATGCAGCCATGTGAAAAATAACATTCAGTGTTGTGAAAAACTAAGCCCAACCCATGATCCAGTAGCTTGTAGAACCAACTTCAGCAGCAATAACTTGAATTAATCATTTTTTGTACATTATCAGCATCCCACATCGCTGTGGAAGAATCTTGGATCACTCCTGGCAAAAGACTGTGCTGTAGATTTGGGATCATTGACCTGTTGAATGATTCAATTTCAGTCGAGCTTTAGCCTTCGGACACATGGCCTCTAGAATATGCAGAGAAGTTCATGGTGAACATAATGACTGCAAGGTGCTCAGAACCCGTGGCTGCAATAGGCAACATAGGATGAATTTGCTTTGATATTCACTCCTGGGAAGATCGTGGCATTATATTAACACATGCTTGAATGCTAAAACTGCTTAAACGTCTGCTTTTATAGAGGGCTTGATGATGATCAGTTAGGCCAGGGGTGTCCAACTCCAGGCCTCGAGGGCCAGTGGGTTTTAGATGTGTCCTTGATCCAACACAGCTGATTTAAAGGCTAAATTACCTCCTCAACATGTCTTGAAGTTCACCAGAAACCTGGTAATGAACTAATCATTTGAATCAGGTGTGTTGACCCAGGGTGATATCTAAAACCTGCAGGACACCAGCCCTTGAGGCCTGGAGTTGGACACCCTTGAGTTAAGAAAATGCATCTAATTAGCAGCACCTGGATGCCACTTCTCCACTTAATTCCTATGGAAACAGTAAAGGTGTACCTAGTTTTAATAGGACTGCATATCTGCGTATTTCTGAACTCCAGACTGATTGACTTCAGGACTACAGAGCTAAAATTACATCACTGACAAGTCCACTTTTAAAAATCCAGTAAGGGTTTACATTTATTAAAATTTGCAAACTTATCTTCCTAAATTGGGTGAGATTATATTTGTTTTCTCTGATATCTAAAAACTGATGCATGTGGACATTTTTAGGCTGGGCGAGGCCAGTGGAAAACCACCAACTCCAGAAGTCTCACTGCAGTGCTCTGTCCGTGTTTGGAAAATGAGAAAATTTGACAAATTAATCCAAGTTTAGCAAAAGCTTAATTATCTGGTTTACAAGAGCAAAACACAGAACAATAAGGTCAACTATATCACTCTTGTGCACACCCTAAGACTTTTTAAATAGCATTTACAGTGGCTGCACTTGGCCTCTGCCACAGCGGAAAGGGAGTTTCATGTCGTTATGAGGACGGGAGGTCAACAGATACCAAGGCGAACAGGAAGCAACCAATCCCTATGTGAAATAAGGCTTATATCTTTCGTGTGTTGTCACAACTTCCCCAAACATAGACCATACACGACTTCCCTTCAATACACTTGAGGGATGTAGTCAGGGACTTGAGCATTGGCTGTACTTTATGGAACAATTAAAGATATCTGGACAAGCTTGCACTACAAACCCAGGTCAAGCATATCAGTTTGTACCGCATGTAACACAGAAGAGTCCTGGAGGCAATAATACATGCATTTGGTTTGGTAACAGTCATATAACTGTCAGGTTCTCAAAACCCTGATGTTATCCAAAGCACTTTGTTAGCTCTGAATGGATTGGATATACTGATTTAAACATAAAAATGATGTGATGCTGTTTAACTCAAGTCTACAGTATGCTTTAAAAAGAACAAAACAATCCCCACCTTTTGGCATGGTTATCTGACATCCCAAGTCATAGTCCTGGTGTAAACGGGAGAAGGCCACTTCCTGTAGCCGGGCCCTCTCCAGCTCTGACAGGCTTTGGATGGCAACTGGCATCAGACGCACGCTCCGCCCCGACAGGCTGCTCCAGGTGAAATCCCCCTGGGAAGAACAAGTGAGACAAAACTTATACCAAAAGGAATATTAACAGTATGGGAACATGGAACCATTTCATGTCATTTTACATTGCATTGCTGATTTTTATCGGTTTTCATATAAAGATGCACCAATTTTCAATTTTTATGTTGCAAGTCCAGGTCAGAGAAGTTACGACATAAGTTATCATATGGTTAGGATTAGGGCTGCGTTTGGGGGTTAAATGCCATCCTGTCAGTATCTATGTGTATCGAATATGGTTCCTCGTCAGGTAACTCGATTGTTGATTGAACCCTCCAGTGACAATCCTGTTCTTAACTTTATTCACTTTCCATATAGTATGTTTTCATATGATAGGAGATACAAGTGAATCAAGCAGTTAGCTCAGTGGCTGCATGCCTTTTCTCCTGTCTTCCTCTCCTCTTTCCTATTAAAAAGGAGTTTTTCCTTCCACCTGTCTCCGAGCGCTTGCTCAAAAGAGGTTGCCCGATTGTTGAAGTTTTCTCTGTATTTCTATAGGCTCTTTACCCTACAATATAAAGCACAGATTGTTTTGGTGATTTGGTGCTATATAAATAAAATTGCATCGTTAAAATATCTTCTATAATTTTGGTGCGCTCCATGTCTGCTTCCACCTCACTAATCTTGCCAACTAACGCTCACTTCACCGGGTTTTCCTCTCCTGCTTCACAAAGCACACTTTAGCAATGCAAAACAGAGCTGTTCTTCTTTGATGTGGTCAGCCAACTTGTGATGAAGTCGGGCTCACAGACGCAAAGAGCCAGGCAGCAGCAAACTGCAGAAAAGAAGCAGAGGTGTGAGGTGTGGACTAATTTGTAGATTTACAGAAGGCTTTAATCTATTCCAGGAGAAAGACCTCTAAAACCTTTTTACTTGGGTAAAATGTCTTGATCCCTGATTGCGTATGGAAATAATTAAGTCTTATGGGACTTAGTTTATTTAGCACCAAATGTTTAAAAACTAATGAATGTGAAGCTGATTAAACCTACTGTACTGCTGATGTAGCCTACAAAGACGAATAAAGACACCACGTGCTTTGGAAGACACTCCTCTATTCTAGTTCTAAGGAGCAATTGGGGACATCTTAAGCTGGCCCTATACTGATGGATCTACAATATGTGCCCTGGATTCAAAATGAGCATATTTACCTTCCAGGTTGGGCTTTATCTGCGATCAGGATGAAACTGAACTGATGTAAAACGTAATTAAATACTGGAGATTCTGAGACAGCATTGGTTTTGAACGTTTCAGCCACCCGAATATCAATTCATGCATTCCTCTGTGTCAATTTACCTAATGCCTTAACCAGACTGATGGCTTAACAGTGTGCAATGTGTCTGCATTTATGCAAGAATGAGCATTTTCTTTTTCTTATTAGATCCCTGTTTAAATTTTCATCTGATTGATGTTTACCCATGGTATGTAGAAGAAAAATGAGACACCATGAAGACTTAACTTTTCATATTTGGGCCTCTATCAACAATATTTTCCTGAAGCCATTCAACCCTCCCTGCTGTCAGCTCGCTTGTTATTTGACCCCAGTCAGTGCAGTGAGGCAACAGAGCCATCATTCAGCCATGGAAGGAAAACATGATGTGGATACAGGCAACCTGGAGAGCCAAATGACTTTGTGTGCGAGTGAGCGAGTGAAGCGAGTTGCATGTTGCCCCCCTTTCAGAAAGCATTTTATCCAGCACAGCTGTTCTGCATATTTTTTGTCAGTGCACGCCTGTGTACCGCCATTCCTTATCGCTGACTGAGGAAACCCTTTTTCAGCCCGCTTCACTTCAGAGGGCACACACATACAACAAAAGAAAAGACAAGCTGTTGGAACGATGTTATAAAAAAAAAGTAAAGAAAAAGAAAGAGGTCTGTCCTCGGTCGAGCTGGTTCTGCTCAGCAGGATCTCTGAACAAGACGGATGAGCTTCGGCTCTTAAGTGTCGAAAACTGTGGAATGCTGACAGAAAAGCCGAGGGAGGGAGACCAAGTCCTGCTATCACTGCTGGACTCTGGTTTATACCTTTGAATGAATGACACACAGGCCGTCAGCTCACTGTTACCAAAGTGCCTTGAACAATTCAACTCGTAAATAAGATAATATGTTGTGTATGTGCATTTATAGTAGTAAAAGTACATTATAGGGCTGTATTATCTGCCAATATTAGCGCTATTAGCCAATTCATCGGTATCACGTTTATAATAGGCGATTAATAAAAAAGAGACAAAAGAAACACCCTTCAGCTTTGTTTTGAGAAAGTCTCTCTAAATTTGTATTTAATATTCGTTGTAGAAAATTAAAATTTTAACTTTAAAACACACACTGGGTTTAGGGAGTTTTGGTCTTCAAACCATGACAGTAGATGTAGTGATCCTAATCAAGAGAATATGTCAGTGAAAGAGGTTTTATTCTTTGCAGAATATGAATTCCACACTGACCACATTTGACCATATTATTTCCTATTAAGCTGAACATGCCAGCACGCCAAAATACGCTCAGAAAATAGCAAAGTTACACAATAGTGTTGTTCAATAGTGTTGAACACAGGACAGGACAATCTGTCCAACACTTTGCTCAAAGAATTCAAGATTGCAGAAGACATGCTTACTTCAGCATAATACGCTAATACTTGTAAGAGTGTAAACGAGTAAGTAAATAACTATAAATAACAAATATAAATCTGTTTGTTTAATGTGTCCAAAAGAAAAAAAAACATAGTAAATGTGCGTTGAATTTTCTTACCATCTACATCATTAAAAAACTTTCTTTTTAACCATAATTCCAACTTGATGCTCTTGCTCATGGTTGGCCACTCTTCTGGCCAACAATGATTGAATATGTCCCAACCAAAACTGGTGCACCAGCATCAATTCTATTTATTTACACTGCATGTTTCTTTAAATTAATAGTAACTTTTAATTATTTTAGTATTTTCCATGCTTAAATAACATTGAGGTAAAGGAATACCAATTCCTTGGTGATGATATTCATCCATCTGATATCCATCTGTAGAATAGTAAGTCCATTCAGGGCACAAAAATCCAAGAAAAAAAGCTCAATGTTTACGTCAGTTATTACCCCTCCCCGTTGTGCACCAAAGTCTGCTAATTATGGGGAAAAAAAGATACAACATGTTTGAAAACTATTTTTTCACATTAGTGTTCAACCATAAAGAGCAAAAAAATACTGGGTTGGAATCCATTTTGGCCTTAAAGAGCCAGCACCAAGTTTAACCAAATCAGACATCCAACTGGACTTCAGAGCAACAGACATAACTAACAGCCATAGTTTTTGCATGTAAAAGTCAAGCTCAGGGGATATCATTACACCAATTTCCAGCCTTCCTATTATACTTACTATTTAGTCAAACTTGCAAAAACAGCGGCTGGACACGTGTTGGCAATTTGCCTGAGTTACAGCAGTCAGTCTGAGTCAGACCACAATTGTTTGGAGACAGGTGCCAATCACCTTTTAGTCTAGCATAACTGAATCATGAGCAGCTTTAGCCTGTGCACAGCTGATGCAAGCCACTTTGCAAGCCACCTCTTACCCCAGCTCCTTCTGTCATGCTGGCTTGTATTGTAAAGCCTCCAATTGGCTGTTTGCTGGAATGGCTGGGCAGATATAATCAGATAATTTAAAGTTTAACGGGTGCTATTTACTACTTTTTTGTTGTTGTTGTTGTTTCAGCAGAAATGACTGAATATATTATGTGAAGGAAGAAGAAAGACAAGGATTAGTATGAGACCAAGCATCAAGAGATTTTTAAGTGTGCAGGCCTTAGTTTAATGCTTCTGTTAAGGACTGGATTCAGCAAATGCTATGCTATCAGTTTTACTGCTGCTTTGTGCTCCCATCTGACAGATTTTACCCTGGAAAGATTAATGACTCTGCTGACTGGGCCAGCACTATGCAGTTAGATGACTAATACCATTTGGACATATACTGAACTGCAGCATGTGGTTTCTGTTCTATTTTAGACAATGGGACAAATGGCGCAAAACCTCAGGCAATAGACTATGTCAGTTTCCTTGGCAACACATACATACAGAACTCAAAAGAGCCAGGAAGTGAGAGAAATATTACTATGGTAACGCACCTGGAAGATACACACACGCATGCACGCACTCAGGCACTGGAACACTTGGTGCTATGATGCACTGCGTAAATCATTAGATGCCATGACCATGGTGAAACAGTTATGATAACCCTGCAAATGTGCACTCACAATGTGATGTTAATTAAATGCATCATGAAAGTTATACAGAATGTGTAAAGGTATGTTTAGTGGCACATAACATAAAGACTGGGGTTATAATAATTGATGCTCTACTGGATTGTTTTTGCATTACTGGATCATTTTGGTCATTATATATTCCTATAATTTACTAAATAATACACAACATGACTTGCTCTTTGCTCAGTCTAGTACCACAACCAAACATCACTTGGACCAGACCACAGGTACTTTTGGTGACTCATTCTAGTTTTTTTTGTGTTTTTTTTGGGAGGGGGGGTTCAAAGAAAATATGTCTCACAGAATTCTGTCATCTGTGATCGATTTACTACAGGACAATCCCCTAACTCCCATTTGTTGGTCTCACGATAAAAACTACTTTGCAAAATCAGGGCATAGTCACGTGCTAGGTTCAGAGACTCACTGTAGAAACACATTTTTAAATTATATCATTAATAAGAATTGTGTGTGTCCCTGGATACATGCATGAGTGCATGCAGAATCTGAGCACTGCAACTCCACCTACAATACCACAGAGGCATCAGTGTGACCATTCTTGGCCTCAAGCAAGTGGCATTACAAAAACTGCTGTAGCTTTCTTTTTTTTTTCATTGGTTTCCCATTGACTTGTGACCGTGTGTCATCAATGAAATGTATGCATACACATGTCCACAAGGGCTACTGACAGTGTCCTTAGTATAAGAGGCTGAATGTTAAGGACTGAGTGTCTCTCTACATACCCTTGTTC